AGCACAGGTGACCAAAAAAATAGATAAACTGGACTTCATCAAAATTTAAAACTTTCATGCATTAAAGGACATCTTCAAGAAGGTGAAAACAACCTATCGAATGAGTGAAAATACTTGTAAATCACATGATAAGTGCTTGATATCCAGAACATATATACGAATTCTCCACCTAAATAACAACAAAAACATACAATTCAGTTTAAAAATGGGCAAAAGACTTGAATAGACATTTACCCCAAGATGATGTACAAATGGCCAATAAGCACATAAAAAGATACTCAATATTATTAGTCATTAGGTAAGTGCAAGTCAAAGCCACAATGAGATAACAATTCACACCTACTAGAATAACTATAATTTTTAAAAAATAATAAATATTGGTAAGAAGGTAAAGAAATTGAAACCCTCAGGCTTTGCTGCTGGGAATTTAAAATGGTGCAGCCACTGTAGAACACACTTTGGTGGCTCCTCAAAAAGTTAAACATAGAATTATCATATGATCCAACAATTCCATTCCTGTTGTTGTTCGGTCACTCAGTCGTGTCTAACTGTTTGCAAGCCCATGGACTGCAGCATACCAGGCTTCCCTGTCCTTCACCATCGCCCAGAGTTTGCTCAAACTCACATCCATTGAGTCAGTGATGCCATCCAACCATCTTGTCCTCTGTTGTCCCCTTCTCCTCCTGCCCTCAATTTTTCCCAACATCAGGGTTTTTTCTAATGAGTCAGCTCTTTGCATCAAGTGGCCAAAGTGTTGGAGCTTTAGCTTCAGTGTCCGTCCTTCAAATGAATATTCAGGATTGATATCCTTTAGGATTGACTGGTTTGATTGCCTTGCAGTCCAAGGGACTCTCAAGAGCCTGCAGCTGCTGCTGCTAAGTCACGTCAGTCGTGTCCCACTCTGTGCAACCCCATAGACGGCAGCCCACCAGGCTCCCCCATCCCTGGGATTCTCCAGGCAAGAATACTGGAGTGGGTTGCCATTTCCTTCTCCAATGCATGAAAGTGAAAAGTGAAAGTGAAGTTGCTCAGTCGTGTCCAACCCTCAGTGACCCCATGGAATGCAGCCTACCAGGCTCCTCCGTCCATGGGATTCTCCAGGCAAAAGTACTGGAGTCGGGTGCCATTGCCTTCTCTGCTCAAGAGTCTATTCCTGGGTATATATCAAAATAATTGAAAGCAGGGACTGAAACAGTTACTTGTACACTTGTGTTCATAGCAGCATTATTCACAGTAGCCAAAAGGTGGAAACTACCCATGTCCATTTACAGATAAGTGGATAAGCAAAATACAGTCTGTGCAAACATCAGAATGTGATCTAACTTTTAATAAAAAGGAAAGAAGTTCTAACACATGAATGAACTTGAAAATATTTGCTAACTGAAATAAACCAAACACGAAAGGACAAATATTGTACAATTCCACTTAGATGAAGTGCCTAAAATAAATTCATAGAGACAGAAAGTGAAATAGAGGTTACCAGGGTCTGGGCAGGGTAGGGGGTGGGTAATGGGGAGTTTTTAAATAGGGACAGAGTTTCTACTTGGGAATGATGAAAAAGTTTTGGAAGTAGGTAGTAATGATTGCACAGCATTGTGAATGCACCTAATGCCACTGGATTGTACATTTAAAATGGCAAATGTTAGGTTACGTATATTTTACCACAATCAAATATTCTCAAAAAAAATAATAAGAAGAAGAAGCTGCCTTGTCTCTTAAGTTCTAGGCTCAGAACTAGCCCAACATCACCTCTGATGTATTCTGTTGGTCAGAATAAGTGACAAAACCAGCTCAGATTCAAGTGATGGGAAAACAGACTCCACTTCTTCATAGGAGGAGCTATGTACACATATCCCCCATCGTTGATCAATATTCACAATAAACAAATTTTGAGTTAAAATCTTAATCTCAAAAAAAAATTGTGCTAAAACTTCTTATCCACTAAATACTGAGAGAAAAATAATTTAATAAGTTGAAAGATGCAAAATTTGACTCTGAAGAAATGATAACCACCTCCCCCCTACTGAAAAAAACAGAGGGAGAATTGACAGTTGGTAAAAAAAAAAAAAAATGGACAAAAAGAACCCAATTAATGAATCAAATGTTTACTGCAAAGATCACATGGAAAAAACGTTCCTGATAAAAATGATTTCAATCAAATAAAAGTGAAAACTGAAACAAAAATTGGGGAAGTTTAAGTGCACTGAATAAAAGCAAAATTATCCAGGAATCTAGTTGGCTAGATGCAGCTTAGGATTCAAAATCTTTTCCAACAGAAATGTGTTGGATTTTTTTTTTCTCACTGAGCTTTTAAAAATGGAATCAAAGTGTCCTCAGAATAAAACCATCCTTTGTGTGAGCATGGCAGGGTGAGCAAGAGAGGGTCAAAAGCCCTGGGCATCTTTCTGGCATTTAATTTTATTCCCCAGACACCAGATGCCAATTATCTCCTAGGCAAATTCCCAGAAATGATCCAGTCCTTATGTCTTTCTGGGCTTCCCTGGACCCCACACAGGTTTGTGTCTCTGCAGACCCCTGTCTCCTGCCTCCCATAACAGTCCAGGTATTTTGTTCCTTGAAAGTTGTGGGTCACACTAAACTTTCTTTTCTGGGGATGAACCCCAAGATTTGTCCTCACTCCTCCACACTGGGGGACCATGGGCAGCCAACTCAGAGATTATGCCTTGGTGGTTACTTGGCCCTCACCACATCCTGGGTATTACTCTTGCCCTCCTGACTCGAGACCATGTGTCCCATCTCTAGGGCTCACCTAGTGCTCCCCAGGTGGCACAGTGGTAAAGAATCCACCTGCCAACGCAGGAGATGCAGGTTCCATCCCTGACTTGGGAAGATCCCCTGGAGGAGGAAATGGCAACCCACTCCAGCATTCTTACCTGAAGAATCCCACGGAGAGAGGAGCCTGGTGGGCTACAGTCCATGCAATTGGAAAGAGTCGGACACAACTGAGCGACTGAGCACAGACACACATCCCATATCTAACCATGTCCACAGGGATCCTCCCCCCACCTCTTAAGTCTGCTAGGAATCAATGGACAATGTCCATGAGGTTCACTTCAGCTTCATACTCTGCAAATACAAGGCCACCTTGTGACTATGTCAGGACTATGAAATGTCCAGCACATAAATTGTAAAGGAAGGGAACAAAAGGAGACTTCCCTGGTGGTCCAGAGCTTAAGGCTCCACCCTTCCACTTCAAGGAGCATGGCTTCAATCCCTGGCCCAGGGAAAAAGATCCTCCTCCCAAAAAGGAGGGTGAAGGCAAAGATATGCTTTTTTAGCCATGTGGCATGCAGGATCTTAGTTCCCCAATCTGGAATCAAATCCCAGGCCCTCAGCAGTGACAGCACAGAGTCCTAACCACTGGACTGCCAGGGAATCAAAGATGTGTTCTTTAAAAAAAAAAAGAGGAGTATGGGGGAATACGGGCATGTGGAGGAGAAGGAATTCATTATAATTATTTTTACCATTGAGTTTTTAGAAATATGCTTCAAAGCTTTTCTGAACAGTTCCAGAATTTTAATAGATGCAATGTACAATAGATAGTAAGAGAGAGGGGGAGAGAGAAGTCACACAATGAGGGAGTATAGACAGTGGCAGAGAGGGTGTAGACAGATTCAGAGTGGAGACAGAGACAGAGAAGGAAGGCAAAATGTAGATTAGACAGAGTGTAGACAGGGGTGGAGACAAATAACAGGGGCAGGAGTGTGGCCCGATGTCGTTCACTGCTTCCTAAACCAGAAGGAACCCCCTACCTACTATTTAGAAGATTGAGATCTCAGACCTCAGTAGGTCCTGACATGGCCCGTCTTGGGTCCGAGGCTTCCCATTCCCATTTCTGTCTCTTTCCATTTTCAGCTATCATTCTGAGCTGACGATATCACCCTATCTTCTGTGACAGGGTCCTTCTTCCCCGCCCCAGCCCCTCGAGGACCCTTCCTTGCATCTTGGGGTATAAGCGTGTCCTTTTTGCTAAGTCTTGCCCCCCTATCAGTAACTCCCCAGCCTGAATGATCTTTCCACCCTTCCCTTCCCTGTTAATCATCTTGGGCCCGCCATTCATTCACTTATCAAACATTTTATAAACAGTTCCTATGTGCCGGCCCCTACTCAGCAATGCTGGGGACCCCCAGAGGAAACCTGACTTAGGTCCTGCATCACTCCCACCCTGCCCCCGTGTGTCTAAGAGGTGTGGGGGGTGCGGGAGTCATGTAAGCAGTGATAAGGACATGCTCAGAGTTTGATGGAGGAACATTAGACACTTAAGATATTTAACCTGGCCTAGACTAGAGCAGGGCCTGAGTCCCCAGTGTGACACCCCAACCCCCCAAAGTCCCGCCCCCAACACTAACTGGGCAGTGTGAAGATGCTGTCCCTCAGCCGCAGGGACTTCTGGCAACGCCCCTTCTCAGACCCAACCCTTTGGCAGCTACCTGCTCAGCCCCTGTCTCAGGGCTGATCTAGGCCACGCCCCTCTCAGCTCCTCCCCTATTTCATTCACTCTAGGTCTTAAGTCCCACCGCCCGGGAGGGCAACTGCACAACAATATCGCAATTTCATTGGCCAGAAAGCGTTACTTCACCGCCCTCCTTCAGTGTCATTGGCTTCCTAGATGTCAATTTCCTTTATAGCGGCCCAAAAGTTGCCAAGGCCGAGGTTTGAGGGACAGATAATAATGGCCGTGCCAGGACGTCTCTTTATTGGGCAAAAAGCCCGGCTCTGGGCGGGGCTTAGCGCCAAACGCTCGCCTGCCTGTCTGCGGTTCCTCAGGGACGCAGTCTTTTCTCAGAGACACACCCCTCTCTCCTCGCTATTGGTCCTGCCAAGTGTTGATCAACAGGACGCCACATTTCGATAGGCAAAACTACCCGTCCTTCACTGCTTCCCTAACTTCAATTCGCTTCTCTCCTTAAAGGCGGCAACCTTCTGGCCGTAGCCAGGGTCCGCCTTACGCTATGGCCACGGATTGGCCAAATACGCCATCACTCCTTGACAGTGGGCGGAGCCAGAGCGGCTGGGGGCGGTGAATTGGCTGACTGGGCCTCGGGGGCGGGGCAGCGGCTCCTGTCAGCGGGTGAAATGGCAGCGGCGGAGCCGGCGGCGACCGCGGTCCCGGGGGGCGGCTGAGGGGGCCGGGCCGGGCCGGGGCTGCGGGGCGAGCGACGCGGCGGGGATCCGGCGGCGCGGCCCGGGACGGCGAGACTCGGCATGGCGATGGCGGCGTGCTCTTCACAGGTAGGTAGGCGGCGCGGGCCGGGCCTCCCGGGCGCCTTCTCAGGCCCGCGGCTCCGCGTTGCGGCCCATGGGGGCCGGGCAAGACCGGGACTCCGGGCCCCTTGCCCCGGAACCCGCCCCGGGAGCCCTCGGCACTCCCAGCACAGACACTGGCCATCGACCTCGGGCCTTGGCCCCTGCACATCCTCGTTCCTGGCGCTTCCCGACCCCTCTGGGCCCCTCCCAGGACCCTTCCAGGTGCCCTCCTCCCCCACACCGCCCCCTTCCCGGGAGCCCCCCTCAGGCCCGTGACCCCCGCTCACCCTCTTTACTGACCCTCAGGACCCCTTTCCAGGCCCTTCAGGGCTCCCGCAGTCACAACCCCACAGACCCGCCCCCTACAAGCGTCCCCCACCCCGCCGCAAGCCCAGGACCCCCGCCCTCCCTCTCTCCGAATCCCCCAAGACTCCTTTGATCTGTAGACCCCTGGTCACGCCGTCCTTTTCCTCACTTCATATCCCATCCCTGGGCCCAGACCTGCCCCCACCCCCAAAGATACCAGCCTTAGAGCCATACCCCTCCAGTGTGACCCGTCCTCAGCCTCTGTAAATCTGAATTCCTGCCCACAAGCCTCACTTCAGCCTGCTGGCCCATCTCCCACCCCCAGCAGCCCCATGCCCAAGGGCACCCCCGAAAACCACTCCTGGGACCCTCCCCACACACACCCTGATCCTGACTCCTCTTGATCCCTGCTTCCTGAAAGTCCACCCTCACCTTGTGCTCAGGACAGCCCAACAGATGGTCTGAACCCCCTCCCCAACCAGGGACACCCACCTCTCTGAGGGCCCCACTCACTTGCACAGACACACACACACATACACACTCACACCTGAGAGCCAACAGAGCGAAACCTGTGAATCCTCAACAGCTCATACTGATATGAGTATGAGGGGCCCAGGGTGGGTGTGATAGACGGCCTGGGCCCCTCATACACAGACATTCAGGAGCCCTTCACACAAACACACGCACACAGACAGAATCTGACTCTTGGATCCCCAACACACACAGAAACACTTGAGACCTCCAACACAGACCCAGGCAGTTGGGAACACCCCCCCGCCCCCACTTGCCTCCCATATACACACAGACATACACACAGCTTCTCAGCACTTTAGTACTCCTCCTCGGAATTCACCTGCCCAGGTCCTCCTGGAAGCTGCCACCAGCTCCCAGCTTAGGCAGAGACTCCGATGTCAGCTGCCTGCCCTGCCCCAGGTGGCCAGCCTTCCCATCCACACCAGCCTGCCTGAACCGGTGCCCCCAGTGGGGCCTTTGCAGGTGGTGGAGTGACCCAGAATCTCCCAGCATCCCTGTGGACACCTGCCCCAGACCTCTTCCCATTCATCCATCTCTCCCCATTTTTTCCCCCTTCAAAGGGAAGGATGCTCCCTCTTTCTCTCCCCTACACCAGTCTCCCCCAAAGACCCAGTGCCTGCCCCCTGATTGATGCCAACCCCTGGCAGGGGGTGGGGGTACCGGCTGCCCCTGGCCCCAGGCCTGCAGTCTGACGAGACTGCTAGGACCAGCATCCTGACCCCATCACGCCTGCTGGCCTCTGGTGGCAGCAGCTACCCAGGTGCCGCCCCTGACTGGCCCAGGAGCTCCTTCCCCCATGGCCAGTGTGTCATGAGAAAATGAAACAGCTTCCACCCACCCTGGCATTTGGGACCCGTGTGGGGCTGGGTTTGGGCCTGCCAGAAGCAGGCAGCTCTTTGTTAAGGAATATTTTCAGAAGGGAAAAATGTGCTGAAGAGGCTCGGGTGGAACACAAGTGAGGAGTCGGCTTGGTTTTCGTTGTTTTTTTTCCCACCTTGGCCTGACTGGGATGGAGCTAGGGGACCCGTGTCCACATGTCTTTCTAGGTGCTCTGGCTCTTTCTGCCCAGCCGGCCCTGGCCGGCTGACCCACAGCCCACCCCCTCGTGTCCACCCTGTGGGTTCCCCTGGGCTTCGGCGGTTGCCTGCAGGTGGTCCGGCCCTGGCCCAGGAAGGGGGCAAGTCACAGATGGGGGCAGACCAGAGAACTGGGGAGACAGCATGTCCAGGACCACAAGGTTGAGGAGGAGCCCCAGGTCGCCCTCAAGGGGAATCTGGATCAGTCCAGCGCTGCCTGCTGTCTCCTTCGTCTGACCTAAGCCTGCCTGGAAAACCCCAGAGAAATAAGCCCAGATTCTCTGTAGACATTCACCAGTGGTTTCTGGGTGGTTCTGGGGAAAAGCGCATCTTGGCTTGAGGCCTTGACTTACCCATCTGGAAAATGGGGAGGGAAATCCCGAAACCAAGACTTGGGACTTCAGGGGAGCCAGTGAGATTAGGATGTGTCCCTGAGTGTCCCCCTGGGCACCATGTGGAAGAGGGGTCCATGGGGTCTGTGGGGCAGTCGCCCCACCTGTGGGTGCTAGCAGAGTCACTGACCTTCTCTGTCCCCTGGTTGTAATTCTGATGCCTCTGTGAATAGCGGCTGTCCTTCCCTGGCTGGGCTATGCTCAGGGCTGAGAGACAGTTTGTTATGGGATTTGTGGTCACACGTAGACCTCCCATAGGGACAGAGGGCAGTTGGGGTTCCACTGGCTGGTGATGCCCACACCCCATCGAGCCCTCTGACATGGGGCAGACCGAGGTTCTGTTCTGAAGGGAGGAGAGAAGGGGAGACTCCTGAAGGTCACAAGGCACACAGGAAGCAAACTCCATAGCCTCCCTGGGGAGGGGGAGACTTTGTGCTGATGCACTGGGGTCAGGAGGCTCCCAGGACAGACTGTGAGCTCCTCAGGAAAAAACGAGAAGGCTCCCAAGGAGGGCTGGTGAGCGACATCAGTGCCCTTTTACCCTGGCCTGGGGATCCGGGCAGGTCTTTGTGTCTGTGCTGCTGATGTACGGTACAGGGGGCATGGAGGGTCCTGATCTCAGTTTCCCCTTGCAGAATACAGGTGCTGGTTTTTCCAGGTGAGGCCCCCCAACAATGAACTGGGAATTGAGTCAGGGGTTATGGTATGAAGGAATGTCAGGTGTGGCCCGTGCCCTGTGTCTAAAGCCCCTTTACACTGCAGGAGGCCAGAGCTGAAACCAGTAGCTCATGCCAATCAGGCCGTTCCATGTGCCATGCCTGGTGCCAGTTCCATTTACATATCATCTCACTTAATCCCCTCAAACCACCCAGAAGAAGCAGCATTCCAGCCCCTGCCCTGACCACCACATCCCGTGTAAGCAAGAGACAGATTAAAGGATGGCATGTGCTGGGAGCAGAGGGAAGGGCCCAGCGCATCCCAGAGGCGCCAGGGAAGGGGGAACAGGGATGACGTATGAGTTGGGAGAGGAGCTCTCTGGCTCTCCAGGCAGGCGTGGCTGGGAAGGGCGTTCAGACAGCCCGAACGCTTGGACCAAGGCCTGGGCAGCAGGAGCGAGCGTGGCGAGGTGCACCCCCTGGGTGGGTTTCATCCTCTACACCTTCATGTCCTGCATGCAGTCCACGGGGCACACACCAGGGGACCCTCCCTGGTCAAAGGGGTCAGTATTTGGAACTGAACTTGGAACAGCAGTCAACCCCACCCTGCCCAGGGATGTCTGCAGCACGCATGCTCTAGAAGCTGAACACAGGGCAAGGGGGAGGTGAGTTAGGAGAGCTGACCGCCAGGGCCGAGGAAGAGATTGGGCCCTCCAGGGAGATCTCAAGGGCCTCACTGGCACAGTTCACCTGCACTTCCATTTCATTTCTCATCATGGTGTGTTGGTGAGATTGTTTCTTTTCTTTTTCTTTAATCTTTCGGCTGTGCCATGCGGCATGTGGGAACTTAGTTCCCCAACCAGGAATCAAACCTGTGCCCTCTGCATTGGAAGCATAGAGTCTTAACCACCAGACCTCCAGGGATGCCTCCATGAGATTGTTTCATTGGCGGCTGTTTTCCAGCCCACAAGTCCCACAAGGGCAAGGCACGTGTCTGTTCATGGCTGAGTCCAAGGCGAGAACAGGGCATGCAGATGTTCAGTAAACACTTGGTTGGTTTCAGGAGCTGAGCGTCCTCCCTACTCACCCGCTTCTGCAAGAGCGCCTGGATCTCTTCTGCAGAAAGAGGTTGTGTCCATCTACTTAGAGAGCCCCCAAAGACAGGACAGATGAACCCCACCCCAGCTCCCAGCCTAGCCAGCCTTCTTCACAGCAGGAAAGCTACCATCTTGACTTGAAGAGCCAAGAGCCTGTACAGGATGCCATTTCTCTTACTCACCTGTCCCTGGAGGGCTTCTGGGGGCTTTAAATTGTTTTCTTTGTCATCCTCAGGGACACTGAAATATACAGAAATGAAGGATTTGCCAGGAAGGAACTTGTGACAGTGGCAGGAAGTATTAGCTGCTGACATGAAGGATAATAAAGTTTTGGGGTTTTTTTAGGTCAGAAGAGATTCCACAGGTCATAATGGTCATCTGCCCCTCAGATTTTAGCCTGAGGTTGTTTACTGCTGCTGCTGTTACTACTAAAAAGATTATACTTTTACTGCATTTCACATTTAAACAGAGCCACCATGGAAGCGATGGGACTGCTGAGGAGGGGAAGTTTGTTTTTTCAGTCCGCAAATGTCAGATGCCTGATGGTACGCTGGATGCTGGGGATACAGTAGTGGGCAGGTCAGCCCCTGCCCTCATGGAACTTTCCATCCAGGAGAATATTACAGGCCAGTTCCCTCCTAGGCACTTGACAGGTTTTAGCTTGTACATTCCTCCCAACAAAACCTGTGAAGTCGGTACTGTCATCAGCCGTGTTTTCAAATGAGGAAATTGGCATAAAGTGCATCATACCCAGATCAGAAAGCAAGAAACTGGGAGAAGAGGGATTTGAACCCAGGCTTCTGGCCCCGAAGTCCTCCTCGGAGACCAGGAGACCTGGGATCAGTTATCTACACACATAACCGGGGTGGGATGAACATGGACATGGAAACATTCTGTGTGGCACAGAGGAGAGGCTAGAACTGGGGATGAGAGGAGGGCCAGCAATGACCACTTGGATTCCAGCAGCCATCCTTGTTATCCAAGGGGCAGCTCGCCCATCAAATGCCCACCCCATTGCCGAGGGAAAGCGCCCAAGACATCAGAGTCAGGGTGGTCTGTGTGGCCCAAATGACAGTCCGTCAGCCTGGGTAGATGGGGTCAGGTATCTCTGAAGACTTCAGGTTCAGAAATGATTCTGTGTCCCTATAATCCTTAGAGGTAGAGCAGGGGACCTCCAGACCAGGGACCAGTACTTTCTGTCAGATCAGTGGCAGCATTAGATTAGAAATAAAGTGCATAATAAGTGTACTGTGCTTGAATCATCCTGAAACCATCCCCCCGAACCCCTGGTCCATAGAAACACTGTCTTCCATGAAATCAGTCTCTGGTGCCAAAAAGGCTGGGACTGCAGAGGTAAGAAGCTGGGATAAGGGGCGGGGGGCAGAGGCAGGGCAGGTAGGGGAACAAAATTAAAGAACCATGGGGTTTTTCTTCCTGCCTTAGAAAGATAGAGCACACACACTTACTCTCCCCGCTGAGAAAGAGTAACTCACTTACAGAGTGCCCACTGCACTCCATGTTTTACGTGAGTTATTTCTAAAGTATGCAGAGAGAGTGGCAGCTCAGCGGATCAGCTTGGGGTTAAGACTCTAGAGTCAGAAATCCAAGTGCTGGGAATTCTCTAGTGGTCTGGTGGTTAAGACTCCGTGCTTTCAGTGCTGAGGGCTCAGGTTCGATCCCTGGTCAGGGAACTAAGATCCCTCAAGCCATGTGGTGTGGCATGGAAGAACAAAATGAAATGATTTTTTAAAAAAATACTTGAGTCACTCAGTATTTTTTAAAAAAAATTTCAAGTGTAAATCCTTCCCCTACGGCCTCTGGAGACCTTGTGAATGACACTACCTGCAAGGGCACCTCTCACTTGTTATCACTGTCCTGTACTTTTCTGTCTACCCTGGTACAGAATCTTCTCTCTCTCTTTCTCTCTCTTTTTTTTTTTCTTTTCCCTCTCTTTCTTTTAAAAAAATTTTTAAATAGACTTTAGGGACTTCCCTGGTTGGTCCAGTGGTTAAGACTCCACAATTCCACTGTAGGAGGCACTAGCTGTATCCCTAGTCTGGAAACGAAGATCCCACATGCCTCATGATGCAGTCAAAAAATAATAAAATTTTAAAATAAAGTAGACTTAGTTTTCAAAACAGTTTTAAGTTTACAGAGAAATTAAGATAGCACAAAGTGTTCACACAGACCCTACACCCACACCCAGTTTCCCCATTAGTAACGTTATCTGGTATGTTTGTTATAATGAATGGACCAATATTCAGTTCAGTTCAATTACTCAGTCGTGTCCAACTCTTCACAACCCCATGGGCCACAGCACGCCAGGCCTCCCTGTCCATCACCAAGTCCTGGAGTCTACTCAGACTCATCTCCATCGAGTCTGTGATGCCATCCAACCATCTCATCCTCTGTCATCCCCTTCTCCTCCTACCTTCAATCTTTCCCAGCATCAGGGTCTTTGCAAATGAGTCAGCTCTTTGCATCAAGTGGCCAAAATATTGGAGTTTCGGCTTCAACATCAGTCTTTCCAATGAACACTCAGGACTGATCTCCTTTAGGATGGACTGGTTGAATCTCCTTGCAGTCCAAGGGATTCTCAAGAGTCATCTCCAATACCACAGTTCAAAAGCATCAATTCTTCTGCGCTCAGCTTTCTTTACAGTCCAACTCTCACATCCATACATGACTGCTGGAAAAACCATAGCCTTGACTAGACAGACCTTTGTTGGCAAAGTAATGTCTCTGCTTTTTAATATGCTGTCTAGGTTGGTCATAACTTCCCTTCCAAGGAGTAAGCGTCTTTTAATTTCATGGCTGCAGTCACCATCTGCAGTGATTTTGGAACCCCAAAAAATAAAGTCAGCCACTGTTTCCACTGTTTCCCATGTTTGCCATGAAGTGATGGGACCAGATGCCATGATCTTAGTTTTCTGAATGTTGAGCTTTAAGCCAACTTTTTCACTCTCCTCTTTCACTTTTATCACGAGGTTCTTTAGTTCTTTACTTTCTGCCGTAAGGGTGGTGTCATCTGCATATCTGAGGTTATTGCTATTTCTCCTGGCAATCTTGACTCCAGCTTGTGCTTCTTCCAGCTCAGCATTTCTCATGATGTACTCTGCATATAAGTTAAATAGGCAGGGTGACAATATACAGCCTTGATGTACTCCTTTTTCTATCTGGAACCAGTCTGTTGTTCCATGTGCAGTTCTTTTTTTTTTTTCCTCCATGTCCAGTTCTAACTGTTGCTTCCTGACCTGCATACAGATTTCTCAAGAGGCAGGTCAAGTGGTCTGGTATTCCCGTCTCTTTCATAATGTTCCACAGTT